GCCTCCCAAAGTGCTGGGATTACAGGCTTGAGCCACCGCGCCCGGCCTTTTTTTATTTATTTTTATTTTTTTTTAATTATAGATAGATAGATAGATTTTTTTTTTTTTCTTTTTGAGACAGTCTGGCTCTATCACCCAGGCTGGAGTGCAGTGGCACGGTCTTGGCTCACTGCAACCTCTGCTTCCCAGGTTCAAGCGATTCTCATGCCTGTCTCTCGAGTAGCTGGGACTACAGGTGCCCGTCACATGCCCAGCTAATTTTTTTTTTTTTTTTAGTAGAGACGGAGTTTCACCATATTAGCCAGGCTGGTCTCGATCTCCTGACCTCATGATCCACACGCCTCAGCCTCCCAAAGTGCTGGGATTACAGGCGTGAGCCACTGCGCCCGGCTTGCACTACCTTTATAACTTAAAAATTAGAACTGTCTCCATTTGGAGAGAAAATAGCCCTTTTTACCAGATGAACTACACAGAAAGATACAACGCTAAAGAAAACTTTTCTGAATTTTCTGCCTCCAGTGTATATCATAACAGTCTTTTCTGCTTTTTCAGTCAAATGGGTTGGTGTTGGCAAGTCAAGAGAGTCAATGATCCAGCTGTTTTAGTCACAGACTGAGCTGATCCCAACAGACCTGGCAGCGAAACAGCAGCAATCACGTTCCTCGGCAGCCACAACCGACACCAAAGCAGGAAAGCTGTTTTCTGTATTTTTCTATTTCTGTTCAACCTGTTGGTTTCTACAATGATTTTAAACATTGGAAAGCCAGCCTTGTGTATATTTTTAAAAATTCTGCTATTTAAAATGAGCCAAAGTGCTCAAAGCAGAGACCTTCTATGACACATTAGTGTCACATGGTTGCGTGTCCAGCTGAAGCAGTGTCATAATAAACATCTCCAATGGCCACTGAATGGGAGCAGTCATTACATGTTTGATTTGACTTTGTCTTTATTGCTTTTAAACACTGAAAGACAACAATTCACTGTGACAGGAGTCTGGACGATGCAGCTTCCTAAGAGCTGCCCATGTTTTTTGGGTCACAAAGCCAAGCCTTGTGTTTACTCAGAAAATTAAATAGAACAAGCCCATATAAGAGACCAAGTGAATTAAATATGTTTTTTTTGTTTATTTGTTTTGTTTTGTTTTGAGATGCAGTCTTGCTCTGTCGCCCAGGCTGGAGTGCAGTGGCGCAATCTCAGCTCACCACAACCTCTGCCTCCCAGGTTCGAACGATTATCCTCCCTCAGCCTCCCGAGTAGCTGGGATTATAGGCGCCCGCCACCACGCCCAGCTAATTTTTGTATTTTTAATAGGGACGGGGTTTCACCATGTTAGCCAGGCTGGTCTCGAACGCCTGACCTCATGATCCGCCCGCCTCAGCCTCCCAAAGTGCTGGGATTACAGGC